GACGCCAAGAGGAAATGATTTTTAAGGAACTGAAGTCTTAGTACTGCGCCATGCTCCTGAAATACATGGAAAAAGACATGGGATTATAACTCCAAAATTCGGATACCTCATGCAAACATCTAAAAATCAATTGATAGTGACCATTTTAAAGCCAGAGCTCAATTTTGTGCTCGTGTATGGATGCAAAAATAAAAAATGTTGCAGTAATGTGAAACAAAATCAAATCTGTCTTTAAGTCTGCAGCATGACAGAATCAAACTTGAAAAAAATATCAGAGACCTAAAATGTCGGAACATCAAAACTGCAGGGAGGAAATTGAAGTTCCTTCTGTGAAAGAAAAGCTTAAACAAACATAAACCTGTGGTAAAGAGCGCTAATGCATGTATTGAACCCTAATACTTATTTATGCAGCTTCAACTAGGTAGCAACAAAAGAAGGAACTTATGGTTGTGGTGATTCATAATAAGTGCTTGAATATGCTGCATTATTTAAAAGAATAAAGAGGCATATGACAGCATAAAAAGCAAAATATTCTGCTGAGTGCAGTACACTGACCTTTAGACAATGAAGCTCAGTGCCCTCCCGATTATAAATATATGGATACCTGTCATAATTTAGAAGTTAGTCTACGAAACAACAATTGCAGGTGATCTTGCTATTGACACGGAGAAAAAAAATACAGACAAAGATTGAACTGCAACAGGACAAATACAAAGCTAAAAGTCTTTCCTTCTATTTAAAACAAAAAAACATTTTAAATAAAGACAAGCATCAAGCTGCGAAAAACTGCATGCATCCATGTTTAGTCAAACTGATTTACTCTACAATGTGCAGAGGGACACATGCAAGAGGAACCAATTTAATCAAGGTCAGTAACTCCATCATGTAGTAAAACATACTTTTTCTGGGCAACTGCAAAAAATAATTCATTGTGCAGGAACACCACATCACGCACAGTTTCTCTGACCTGCAAAAGCCAATAATCATCAAGCAAATTGATTCAGTTTCCAGACATAAATTAAGTTTCCAATAAAATACAAGCTGTCAAATAAATACAATAAGTTGCTCTAGCAGAGTGAACAAGGAAGAGCTTGTGTTGCTTGTTGAAAAAAAAAATACTTCTAGGATCATTGTTCATATGTCTGCTATTTTATGAATAATGCCGGAGGCAAAATCCAAGATTGAATATACCAAGTTATTTCAAACTGGTATGTTACTGGCCTGGCTATTAATTTACCCCGTAGACTTCAACAAGAGATGCTCACAAATCAACATGTTTCAAACCTACTAATGCAATATCATTATTACTCCACGAAAATGATTGATGAACCTTCACTGTGATAGGAACTTGATCAAAGCCAAATGATTTTTCTAAAAGAAGGAAAATTAATGAAGACAGTATCTATCTCCAAGGTGTTGGAAAGATAAGTGCAATTTTCTTCAACACCATTAACTTGAACAAAGAAAACATGAACTCAATTCCATAATGTACTGCATTAATGCCCTCCAGCACTGCACCATTAACAGCATCTTTGATTCATTCAAAGGAACAAACGCAAAACAAAATGAGGATTCAGTGGCTTTCGGTATGGAAGACTATCGTGGAAGATTCAAGATAAACTGTTATTTGTAAAATCAAGAATATTTTTGGTAGTTCATTTTGTAACCAAAGTGAAGATCTGACTCCAAAAATTTTAGAGGTCAATTGATGTTAGGAAATGAATTAGGAAATGCTGAAAATATAGTAAAGCCACCCTAAATTTATCATATTCATATTCCACAATCATATCAAATATAAGCACAGTTAGATCAGGCAACCTGAGTGATGCTGTCTTATGCAGCAGTCACCTCAAGCATAAGATCATGACAGCTTCTGTTTCTCTTTGTCCGCATAAATGTCATCCAAAAATAAATTTGATCCATCTCTTTTTAAGGGTCAGACTAATCCCCAGTAGGTCATACCTGAATTTCTCTAATTAGATTCAAATTCTTCATGTCCACAAGAGCAAGATGACCCTTGCGTCCAGCAGCTGCCATATAACGACCACTCGCTGTGAAATCCAGTGTATATGGACCAAGTTCTGCACATAACAATTGGAAACATTCACAAATCTAAAAAATTAAAATTAATAAATAAACACTTAGGCCAGAATAAAAAATAACTCTTACTCTTAGTTAAGAGAATTAAACATTACTATTAGAACATTCAAAATATTTCCACAAGTTAACTTCATCGTACAACAATCTTGACCTTTCCATTCCTATATTTAGCCAAACATCTAGCGAACTCAGTCAAGTGAACAAAGCCTTTAGTCCAAAGCTCACCGCATTACCTTACAAAACAGACCATGACACGCTGAATAAAATTTCTTCAGCAACAACTGCTCCCAATGTAATTTCAGATACATAAAATACATGTAGAGATAAACAAGTAAAATTTTCCCATTCAGACTGTTGAGAGTCATATCCTTGCTAACAAGGTAACATTTTAAGCAAAAGAAAAAGAGAGGACCCTCAATAAAACAATGGAGGAATCATTAGCCATATAACAGATCTATAAAGGTAATTTATATTTTCAATTACTAGTTACTTGCGATAGGGTCTAACAGCAACCTCTATCAGAGTGAACCACTAATATTCATAACTAATTTTTTTTAAATAAAAGTAATATTCATAACTAAAATGATAAAATCAACCCAAGAATCTGCCATGCTAACTCCATCCAGCAAACCATTAGTTAAGGACGTTCTGGAATCCAAATATAAACCTCAAAAAAGGTCATCTAACTAAAAGCAGAAAATTGCCCACTTTCTTCTGAAGAAGAAAACTTATGCATAACGCATTTATTTTCAGATCCCTGTCCCATTACCCAACTGGTTACAATCTGATTATGACGCTCAGAACTCAAATAAAAAAATAAATAACGGTCAACTTCTTTATTTCCATTCATTCGCTGATTGCAACATAATTCTCTGCTTCTTTTCCTTCTAAATTTCTTCACTTTCAGACACAATATTTCAGGCCACAGCCAAAACCAGTCTCCAGTAATCAAACTAACTTCAAGGTACACATTTAATTTAGAGGAAGTAAGAGCAACCACATTGTTTCTGTGGAACGCAAGAATGATACTAATGTAAAAATTGCATATAGATGTAATCAACCCTAAATATAAAATATAAACTTTTTTAATAGCAAGGAGGGGGAAATATTAACCTGGTAAAACAATGTCATACTGATTTCTTGCACTTAAGATATCTACTTCACGAGCAATATCTTCTTGCTTGATCCTCCATGTCTTCTCAATACCTTCAGGCTCCAAATAGCCTCCTTCACTTGGCATAAGCCACTGAACACAAGGATAAAAAATAAAGAAAAGCCAAAATACACAAAATATCACTAAAATATCATGAAAAATTAGAACAATTACATAAAAGATACAAATACAAAAAACGAGTAAACTGACCACTAAGATTGGACAAGATATTATTTAAAAGATTCAGACAACACAAACTGGTAAACCTCTAACCTCCCTTTTCCTAAGTAGCAAATTTCAGTAAAATTCAGATAGAAGTATATATCACCATAATCACTAACATGAAAATTTATTCAGAATCAGAATTTAAGTACATCAAGATTCAAAGATTATATTTTTTTGAGATAAAATTCAAAGGTTATATGGAAGAATAGTTTACCTTCTCCACCTTAGCAGCAGCTTTAGCAGATTTTCCATATAATTCTTCTCTGACAGCAAGTTGACCCTTTAGCTTCTTATCTTGCAGTACCTGCAGGAAAAAAAAAAAAAAGAATTATAATAAAATAGAAAAACTGACCAAAGAATTATATCCAGAAATTCATCAATGTCATACCTCCAGATTAGCACCTTCTCCTCTAAGATACTTCTTTACCTTGACTTCTAACTCATCAGATATCTCCTGCAAAAAATAAGAAACAAGGAAAAACATAGAGTTATCTGATAGACAAAAACAACTTGTGCCAAAATCAAAAGGAACTTGAAGAAATATAGCCAATAACTTTAACAAGTTTCATGAGTACCAAGGTTGATACATCTAAAAGCTTTAAAAGATATACATGCAAAAGAGATTCAAATCCAGAATCTTCTTTAGACAATTAAAATAGCTTCTGAAAACAAGGACCAAAGCATCTCGAACAGCATCAAATAGTCTAGGTGTGGGGACATTGAAACAAAGGCATGTAGAAAACCACGCAATAGATACAAGTTTTCTACCTCATGGATGTCTCACTAAATTCCTTTTATCCATTTAAACACATAAGTAAATTTTCAATGCTAATCAACAAATTACATCAATGCATAATTGAAGATTTATTTTTCTTGTAAGTAAACCCTGATAACAACAAACTACTTATCCATTTAAACACATAAGTAAATTTTCGATGCTAATCAACAAATTACATCAATGCATAATTGAAGATTTATTTTTCTTGTAAGTAAACCCTGATAACAACAAACTACTTTCATCCCAACATATATTGACAAGTACGAGCAAGAAAATCATGCTTGTTAAAATAGGTTTTCTTTCCATTCATAGAATGAATACATACCTGCTCAAAAGGAGAAAAATCCTTTCCAGCAACATCCTTCTCAGGTGTCACCTCCATTTTGATCACTGTAAGTTTATGTGAACTGCAGATTTGAAATAATAAAATATCACGTTGTATTTATTCTCAAGATCATTATCATCCAACAGGCAACAAATGCAGTTCAATCAGCTCCCTAATAATCACAACGTCAGTTAAATTCAGTGAATCCCATTCAGCGAAAAGGAATAAGACTGTCTCCACAAATAAAAGGAAGTAGATGCTATTGCTCTCAGGTCCAAGAAAACACAACAAATCAACACCTCAGTTACATTTAGAAACCTGAAAATCATTGCATAAAACTAACAGTAAACGTAAAATCCAAATTTTGTTATGGACACACTAGACTGAACAGAAAATTAAATTAAATTTATCAACTCGGATATTAGAAACTTCCCGTTCTACAAACTTACGCATGTTCAATCAACGAAGGTGCTTACACGAGTATCGAATCAAAATATTAATTCATAGACCTCAAACACACATTCACATGGTTTTCAGGTCGGCTTTTCTCGTCATGTTAATTAAAAATTCTCAAACCAATACAGTACAACTTAACTCAAAACACAAGCAGTAGTCGTTAAGCATAGAACATCAAATTACATTGCATAAATCATCATCGAAACAAGTTTGACAAAGGTCGACTCACTAAGACGCGAGTGAAACTCCAACTTACAGAATTTAGTACCGGCGTTAGCTAGCTAGTGCGGAGGCCGAGGCGTCAGAGGTGCTGCGATGGTGATGAGCTACCAGAGACGGTAACCGACGCGTGTAAGCTGCTGCTACTGGGAAGTCGCGAGAGAGGGAAGAGAGGCACCACTGCACCAGAGAGGCGGGACTAAAGAAGAGGATTCTGTTAGGTTTTTGGTTTTCTTTTCAAATTGTTTTTAGGGTTTTATAGTTTTGGGCTTGGGTTGTTGTAAGAGTTTGGGCTGCGCTGTTTATTTAGGGATTGGAAAAAATTGGGCAGTGGGTTTTTCAGAAGAACAAAAATAATAAAATAAGTAAATAAATAAAACCAATATGGTCTCGAGATGAAATTTGTATTAATATGTCAACCCAAATAATTTACAAAAAATAAAAATCTGCAATCCAAATTAAGATATAAACATAGGGTTAATTTTATGTTTGGTTTTTAATTTTTTAAATTAGTATCTGAATTTTAGAATTTTAGAATTAAGTGCTGAGTTTTTAAAAAAAAAAAAAATTCTGCTAAGTGTAAAAGAAATTATATATATATATATATATATATATATATATATATATATATATTGAAAAATAATGACATAGTTGTTACATTAAAGTACTAATAGATCAAACCCATTTATCAATTTCTGCTATCCAAATTCAAAAAAAAAATTAAGAATCTCCATGAAGAAAATAATATTAAGAATAACAGGAGTCTAAATATTTTAAAATATTTTATATTCTCTTTAAAAATATTATATTTGAACTTCAATATTATTCTATAAATTCTTGTGGGTAGCAACAATTATGTTAAATGCAACTATATATATATATATATTAACCATTCTCTTGTATTCAAAATATAAATTCATAAATAAATAAATAACTTTAAAATTCAATATAGTATCCTCTTATGTTATCATAACCTTTGGGATATCATGTATAATCTAAGAATCATGAAGCATGATGTTACTTCCTTTTCAAGTGTTCTTACAGACACTCACTCGATTGAGCTCGATAAGTGTTCCTTATTTTTTTCTGGAACTAAATGAATGAAGAAATCAAAGCGCGGGTTCTCTCATGCTTCTTCCTCTCTAATTTTCTTTCAGTAGTTCAGTTAAATATTTCGGCTTTGAAGTTCACTTGTGGATTGCGAATATCGTTCTGGCTCTGAATCAGGCGTATCTCCAAACTGCTCGATTGTAGATCATATCCAGCACTTAGATAATCATTCAAGGTTCTCTGCAGGACTGCCTGCAAGGTTTAGAAAAAAGTCCAGATCAATTAAATATGCTTAGCTTTTTAACCAAACCTCCAAACGACAAAGAGAACATACTTCAAAATTATGGAACAAAAAATGTATGATCTGGGTAAAATAAGGTATTATATCTTCATCAGTTATATATAAATATAAAAACAACATACGGTTTTAATAGCCATAGAAACTTGAAATGGATTTTCTGCGCAAGCAAAACTAAAGTTGCCTCTCAATGAATCCCTTCTAAAAGGTGTATTCGGTAACTAAAAGTTCAGAAAATCAAACATATATATAAAAAATTTCGAGGACACCTTTTACCAGTCAAAAATGAAATGGACACTTAAATCTCTAATAGCACTCGCAGTAGGGCTTTAATGCTGGTCAATGCTTTATTCATGACCTATAGGAAGTGATTCTGCCTCTAAAACAAAAAACAAAAAGAAAAAAACAAAAAAAAAAACCTGCAAGCTCGAGACTGCAAGTTCTGCTGCCTTGTGAAGATCGTCTTGATATTTCTGAAAAGAAAGATGAGCAAGCATCACAGGGAAACGTGAGAAATGGTGGAGAGAAGAGACGCAGAAGTTGTCAACATATAGGAATCTAGCTTAATAATAATTACATTACTCCAACCAAGTAGAAGTGCAGTCATTAGATCTCCTGTCCCCTGCAAGCATCGCATAAGCATTGTAATGTTTATTTTTCTATTAAAAAAAGAAAAGACTCCACTCAACAAGCACAATGACAGGTTCAAGTCTCAAGAATAACCACTTTCTAGAAAAAAAATCTGTTAGCAGGCAATGAACATATACTGGATGGCTCAAAAAAGAAATGTCAAAGAGCCCTTTTAACTGCCATGTTCTGGTAGGAGCAGCAATGATTACTGACCTCATCAGAGAAGTTATTTCATCATTGCAAATGCTGTCACTTTAACTATTGCAATATATCCTAACTAGTATAATAGATGTCATTATAACCATTGCCATCAACAATGATGCTTAATTGTTCATTTTCACGGGCCCTCCCCGTACAACATAACTGGCATAATTTCCTATTCATTATTATAAAATCATTGCCAGTAGCACTGTGGCCTTGGCATCACATTTGTGAATCTAGAAATGAACAAATTTACAAAAGAGATTTTTGCATACCGTGAAATATGCAGGAATTTTTGGTATCACAATCATGAATTGCTCTGGAGACTTGCCCTACAGTTCAGAAACAACCTTCACCGATTAGAGTAGGTTAGACAATCTCTAATTTCAGCTACAAGTTAGAAGAGTCAAACATCAAACATAAATATCTGTTTTGTACCAAATCTTGAGAAATAGAATATAAAATACACAGGTTATGAGTTACAACATGATTTAATATTTGGGATATTAAACTTCCATCACCAACATATTGAAGTTTTAGTAACTAGATTTGAATGCAAGTAAAATGCCCGTTTACCAATTTTGTTTTTCAAATAAAAGAGAGAATAACAACCAGAAGTGTGAATCACAGAAAATATCATAATTATTCAAAGCAAATGATCTAGTGTCAGATTTTCCCATTATAGGACTATCAAAGCTTCCCTAGCTTTCTGTGTGACAGCAAAGTTAGATTCCTGATTGCATTCATTCTTATCTATCCAGCTTAATTCCAAGCAACATCAAACTCCACCAAAAAGCGAGATAGTGGCAACTGAGTAAAAATTAATCCTGGCATCATTTTCATGCAACATACCTGCCTCAAAGTTCTGTATGCCTAATAATTGTTTGCATACGGTTCCTCCAAAAAGAAAAAGAAACTCTTGACGAACTAATGCTTTAAATTGACACTTCTTAATCTTTTTGCGACAGATCAATTACTTAACAAACATTAATCAATCTATAACTGTCATATTGTAGTGGACAAAATCCCACGTACCTGGGTAAAATTTCAACTGTTGGAAATGAAACACACATGTAACAAGATGCGTATTCTAGATTTACAAAACTCTCATAGATACATGAACCACAAACTTCAAACAGTCAGTAAATAATCCTTCTTAACCCAATTAGATAAACATCTATAAAAGGTAAGCATCCTTGTAACTAAGAGCCATGCATTCTAACATAAGAGAGAAAAATATTCAGAGAATAGAGCATGTATTGGACAATATAATCACATCAAATGAGGAAAATTGGTGCATGTTCAGAAATAAGAGCGCTCATGAAAGCCCTAATCGAAGCAGAATTTCAAATTTAGAAACCTTATCTAGCAACATTTTTATAATATATCTACCTTGTCCTTCAGATGACTTCCAATAAGGAGAAGATTGCCGTCTATGTTAATGCTTGTGATCACAACCTGAAAATGGTCAAAATGCAGATATTATTCTACAAAATGAAGACAGTACAAGAAGCAAACTACATTTGCATGCGGTTTGCAGACATTTCTCACAGACTAAACT